ACACTGACCTGATTCCATTTTTAGCCAAGGATATGTAGGCAACCTCCGAAGTAGGGTGCGGTCAACTCTTTCAAAATGCTTCACACGGAATATTCAAACGAACAAAAATCGCTCGTATCCGCTCACTTATCTTTGCCCGAAAACTCTTCGTGTTCTCGAGCAAAGAGGGGCAGCTGTGAGCACGTGATTTTTTCCCTACATGAATTATTCCTAGAAATTCAAACAAAATGATTTATTCCACTAATTTGCAATTTTGTCGATTTTTGTGACATGTTGTAGTAATTGTTTGCATTTTTGTTTGCGCACTTTAACTAATGGAAAATACAAAAAAAAATATATTTGAATTTTGCATTTAGAATTTAATTTCACATTTTAGGATTAGTTAGTAGTTGAGTCACTTTTAGGAAAAGGAAAATAACAAAAATGGTCCTTTTTGCACTTTTGGTTTTAATCTGTTTTAGTTTGCATTTAAATAGGGAATTTATGTAATTGGAAATTTGGAAGTATAATTTTAGAGTCAAGTTGAGTTTTGGTTTATAATTTAGCATTTAAGAAAATCAGAAAATAAAATACAAATAAATATATAAAATACAAAAATGAAAGCAAAACAAAATTGAATAAAGAGAAAATAAAAAAGGGAATTAAAAGAAAAGAGGGCTGCTCTCATTAGTCACAATTGGGCCATTTCTTCAGCCCAAATACTCAGCCCATAATCACTCCACACCCAAGCCCAATCGAACTCTGACCCGGTCCAGCCCCCATGCCACTAAAACGATGTCGTTTTGCGTCATTAGATCTCGGCTGTCCATCGTTTTTAATCCAACAGCCCAGGATGGATCTTGATTTCACATAAAACTGTCCAATTAATTTCAAAACCCTAACAAACATAAGTCGTCTTCCTCGTACACTCTCTATATTTCGCCGGAGCCGCCGCCGCCGGCGAACACCATCATCGTCGTTCACTCCCAAAATAACACCCATGATTCTCCTCTTCCTCCTCTGTCCGAATTCATAATCCATTTCTCTCAAATCTCATCCTAAGCCTTCGAATTTTAAATCTAAACTTTCCGGCCAGGACGCTACTTCATCCAAATCTCTCCAAATTAACACCATAGGTTCTCCTTACCATCTTCTGCCCGAATCTTCAATTAGTTTTCTTCAAATATCTCCAGGCGTCTCAAAGTTTGAGTTAAAGTTGGCCGGAAACCCTAAATTCTCTAAAATCGGCCAAGTTTGGTACTGTATGGTCTCTTCTCTTCCCTCGTGATGAATTCAAGATTATGGGCCCTCGAATCTCAATGGAATCGGTCGAGCTTTTGAGTTTGGGAACCCGCCAGTGAGTTTATTTTTATTTTGTTCTTGGTTTGGCCAATTGCCCTCTTGTCTATTCATTTGAGTTTGTTTTTAGTTCTTGGAGTTATTAATTGATTTTTGATCATTTTTAATTCAATGATTTCATTTCCTTGAGATTAATTTCATAATTGATTGACGCCGATTAGCTTGTTATCATGTTTAGTTTGCTGGTGTGAGTTTATTTCCAGCCATGTTATTCTAGCTGTTCCAAACTTTGATTTAGTTCAGTTCTCAGTTATATTTCTTTTAATTTGCTAGTTAGTCTATCAGTGTTGGTTTAAATTGATTCTTGTTTAGTCTTGTTTATGTCAAGTCTTAGCTGATTAGTTCAATCTTAGTTTGTTAGTTTTAGTTCGAATTAGGATTAGTTTTCAATATGTTGGTAAGTCAGAGATTAGGGGTTTGTTTGGTTATAGTTGTAGTTTTAGATTAATTCCAGGGGGCAAATTGGGTATTTGGGATGGGAGAATCATGTTCTAGTTAATGCTAGAACTCCCTAGATCTTTCTAGATAGGGGTATGCTTAGAATTTGAGGAAGTTTAGGGTACTAACTTGTGACACAAGTCAATAAGTAAGGGACTATTTTGAAAATAACCTAGGGACTGGAAGGCAAACACAAAATCTGAAGGCTGCCCTCATTTTGCCTATAAAAAGGCATGCCAATGCCTTAAGTCACAAGTTTGGAGCCTCCACAAGCTCCCACCCAAAAGTACTCTTCAGTTTTCCAGATCTGAAAGTAGAAATTCAAAAATTCGAAAGCCAAAAACAATAGAAAATTACAGAAAAATCCAAAAAATACTGTTTATTCAATCTCTTTTGTCAATTTCAAGTTTAGTGGTTGGTTTGCATTGTTTAACTTAATTTCTAGTAGTTGAAGTTCAGAAGTAGTCCTGGTTTGATTTCGAGTGGGTTTGGAGTCCAAGCAAGTCAGTTTTGGGTCTATTTTGGTGCTATTGTATTCAATCTCTCAATTCCATTTGATACTTGGATCACTGGTCTATTCCTGGGCTGAATTTGCTGTGTTGTTGCTGTTGGAAACTCTCATTTGGTGCTGCTTGTACTGCTGTGCTGATCCTCTGATTTTTCTTTACTGTGAATCCTCATTTGCTTATATTCTATTCTCCAAGTACACATTCTCAGCCTATGTTCATGTAACTGCGCCTATTGAACATGAAATACAATTGAAGTTTGTTTGCTGCCCTGGAATTGCAATTTGAAATCTTATTAAGTCTAGATAGCTCGATTACTATTTGATTGAATATTCATAGTTGTATTAACTGGAATGTATAACTAGACAGCTGATGTTTAGAATCAGTTGTAGATCAATTTCTTAGTAGCTGAATACTGTGTATGAATTGTTAAAAACTAGACTGCATGATTATTACGTTATAGGTTCGGATCATGAGCTGAACACTTGATTGAGTTTGCTAGCTGTAGATATATGTTTAAAAATAATTTTTCTGTTTACTTCAGCGATTCACGCAAGGTCGCGAAGTCATTTGAGTGATTAAATGCTATTGAGGAGTGTTAATTTGAGTGGCCAAAATAGTTAGCTTGCTTTGAATTCACATCTGCACCTACTCATATATTCATACTGGCCAAAATATAATAAATGTTGAATGTTAGTTTAGTCATGATAATTTGAACTAATGTCATTTTCCCTCACTTTGGGCTTGGGCCAATGCCCGGCTTACGTCAGTCCAACATCGAATTGATTAGGACCTTTCTTTATTTGTAGAGGCGAACAGAATAGAAAATATAGTTCACTTTGGGGTATCCTTAAATAAGACGAGATGAGCCCCGCTAAGCAAAACAAATAAATTGCGGGGCCCTCGATAAATGTTTATTAAAATACCTAGACTTCGGGATAGGCCGTTTAGCGAATTTCACGGCCTTCCCCAAAGATAACAACACGTTAGTCTCTCTAGGCACGTTGTAATAATTTTACCTTCCTAAATACTGGTGCACATTTATGTGACTCAAATCCAAATCTCAACAAAGTCGAAATGTGTCAAAAACCACGGGTGCATTTATGTGACGTGGTTCGAGACGTGTTTTCACGACGTTGCAATTCTCTAAAAATAATAATAATAAAAGCGGTTCAAAGTTAAAAAGCACATAGACTAAAACATGTTGTAAAATCAGGCAAATAAGCCAAATATGACAGTTGAGCGACCGTGCTAGAAACACGGAACCCGGGAATGCCTAACACCTTCTCCCGGGTTAACAGAATTCCTTACTCGGATTTCTGGATCGCGGACTGTTAAACAGAGTCATAACTTCCTCGGTTCGGGATTCAACCGGTGACTTGGGACACCATTAATCTCCCAAGGCGACTCTGAAATCTTGATAAATAAATCCCATTCCGATTGTCCTTTAACTGAAAAAACTCCCTTTATTATATGCCCTCCCGGGGGTGTGATGAAAAAGGAGGTGTGACAAATGGTACTTTTCCCAATTCAACACTAAATTTGTTTCTTCACAACGAGCTAACACCATGCTCAAGTTCTTCAATCAGTTATCATAAGAAGACCAAAAGACTGAAAATCATCCATAAAGACTTTCACAAATCTTTCCACCATATCGGTGAAAATAGCTATCATGCATCTCTGGAAAGTGGCTGGTGCATTACAAAGACCAAACGACATACGCTTGAAGGCGAAAGTACCATAAGGACAAGTAAAAGTGGTCTTCTCCTGATCCTCTGGGCATATGAAAATCTGGTTGTACCCCGAATAACAATCAAGAAAGCAATAATATTCATGCCCCGCCAATCTGTCCAACATTTGATCAATGAATGAAAGTGGGAAATGGTCCTTGCGGGTTGCTTTGTTGAGCCTTCTGTAATCAACGCAAACTCTCCACCCCATTATGGTACGAGTAGGAACTAGCTCATTTTTCTCATTATCTACCGTAATCATCCCCCCATTGGGCATACATTGCACTAGGCTTACCTAGTTGCTGTCAGAGATAAGAAAAATGATACCTACGTCGAGCCACTTGATTACTTCCTTCTACATGACCTCTTTCATAATGGGATTTAATCTCATTTGCTGCTCAATATTGGGGCGATGTCCATCTTCCAAAAAGATTTTATGCATGCAAAACGATGGACTGATTCCCTTGATGTCAGCAATTGTCCACCCAATAGCTTTTTTATGCTCGCGAAGTACTCTGAGCAATTTTTCTTCTTCTACATTCGTCAATCTGGATTAGATAATCACTAGCAATGTCTTAGAGTTCCCCAAATAAGCATAGTGCAGATGCGTAGGAAGGGGCTTAAGTTCTAGCTTTGGAGCTTCTTCAATAGATGGCTTAGGAGGGGTCAGAGTGACAGGCCTGTCCAACTCCTCAAATTTTCCAAACCCATGGACATAACTGCAAGACATGTCAAGTACTTGCTCAATTTCTCCCATCATTTCATCTTCACTGTCTTCTTCATCCCCAATCAAAGCTCGTTCAAGAGGATCTATAGGGCTCATATAAGGCAGTAATGACATAGCATCACTTTCCACCACAGAAATCATGGATAACTCTTCATACTGGGCTGGAAATCTGAGTGCTTTATACACATTGAATACCTCCACTCGATCACCGACTCTCATTATCTTTCCATCACATACATCAATAATAGCTCGGCTCGTGGCTTAGAATGGGCGCCCCAACATGATCAGGCTCGTAGGCAAAGATAAGAATATGAAAGAAGCCACTTGAACTAACACATCTTCAATCAGTCCTTCAGGATGAGCAAGAGAGCGATCATCCAATTGTAAGATTACCGTTGTTGGGCGCGACTCACCCAAACCCAACTGCCTGAACATAGATAGCGGCATCAAATTGATGCTCGCTCCAAGATCAGATAAAGCTCGCCCGAATACATGCTTATCAATCGAGATTTGGATAGTGAAACTATCCAGATCCTTCAATTTCTGAGGTAGCTTGCTTTGAATTCTTGAGCTACATTCCTCAGTGAGTGCCACAGTCTTGAAATCGGTCAACCTCCTTTTATTTGCTACTATGTCCTTGATATAGTTTGCATATTTGGGCACTTCTTGCAGGATGTCTACCGGTGGAATATTGATTTACACCTGCATCAGAATATCAAGAAACCTTTTATACACGGCATTATCCTTCACTTTCTGCAATCTTTGAAGGAATGGAGGTAGTGGCCTCGCAACTACTGGTGGGGGTTCTTAGCTACTGCCTCTTCAGCTGGCTTCTCCAACTCCTTTGATTTTTCTGATTCTGACTCTATAGTGGCCGACTTTTCATTAAAGTTCACTTGTTTTCTCTTTTTCGACCGGACTTCTTCTAAATGTCTCCCATTCCTCAATGATACAGCATTAATAGATTCCTTAGGATTAGCCTCAGTGTCGCTTGGAAGGGCTCCAACTGGTCGAGTATTTTGGGCACTAGCAAGTTTTCCCATTTGCCGCTCCAAATTTGTCATCGCTGCTTTTTGGGCTTGCTGATCAACTATTACTTTTTATCATCTTTGCTGTTTGGGCTTGCTGGTCAGCCATTAATTTCTTCATCATCTCCTCAAAGTGATTTGTCTAGTTTTCCTGATGTTCAACCTGCGGTGGTCTATATTGTTGTTGAGGTTCTTTAATGTCGCCCAAACTCACGCCACTAATATAGGTTGTGAGGCGGTCGAAGCAATAATAAAAATCCAACGTAATTCAGGGTCGAATCCACAGGGAGTTAGATTTTGGATTAGGTTTACACCTAGTGTGATTGTATGATGTTCCCAAGATTGCACTTCCACATATTTGGTTGTTGTTTCTACTTCTACTTTTAAGCTATTGATTGTAATTGTAGAACTAAGAGATAATATTTTTGGTGTTGTTGTTTTTCAAGTTTATAAAAGATCTAGGGTCGTGACTTCCACCTAGGTGGTTACCTAACGGGTTATAAACTCTAGGGCAAGTTTGATTAGTCGGGATTGTAATATAGCAATCACACGCAATTACCCACTCAATACTTCTCGGTAGTTAGAGTAATTTTGCCCAATTTGGCTTTCTCAAGTCCAAATGGGTATTGCACAAAACAAGTGATAAATGCTCAAGTCGGGTCTTACTATCTCTAGATTCAACCTTTTAACTATCAATTTCTTGAGTTCACCCCAATTCCTTGTTAGCCAAGTTTTCCTAGACTTAGTCTCTCTTTCTCAAGTAGAGACTAAGTCAATTGGCATAAATCAATGTTTGCAACCATTAATTCTTGAATTCGAGCAAGAACTAGGCTAAATATCACTAACCAAATCACAAACAAGCCCTAAATCAAACACCCATTAAGTACCCACACTAGGGTTGGGTCACAACTCTAGCTAGAAATTTAGCTACTCATGAAAAATGAAGAAATTAAACAAGAAACTAAGATAAAATCCATAATAGAAGATTAAGGGAAGAAAATCTTATGTTAATATAGTACAATGTTACCCAATACAGTAAGTAAAAACGGCTCAAGTGCTCTCTCCAAACAAAACTTGACCTAAAAATGACAAAAGTTCTATTTATACTAAGCTGAAAATATCTGACAAAATTGTCCCTGCGGAGGTTGTGCGGCCGCACAATTATGTATGCGGTCCCCACAACGAGACTTGGCTTGACAGGTTCCAGTTTTGCGGCTGTACAATTCTGGATTGCGGCTGCACTCTTTCAACTTCTGCGGACCGCACATTTATAAGTGTGGCCGCACTCTTGCTTCTGCGGCTGCACAATCATAGTGCGGTACGCACTTCTTGACCTTGGTCTTTGGCATTGTGGGACTTGTGCGGACTTCTGCGCTCTCGCACAAAAATGGTGCGGTTCTCATTTCTTCTTGACCTTAAAATCCCATCTCTCTGAACTTTATCTTCTGCGGCTGCACCAGAATTGTGCGGTCCGCACTTTGCAGAGCATTTCTTGTCAGAGGCTTTCTTCATGAACTGCGCCCGCACTAAATATTGTGCGGTCCGCACAGTGCCCTTTTAGCCTTGTTTTTGTCCTTATCTAAAATTACTCCTTCTTGAGTTGATTTTCATCTCCTTAGCTCATATTCTAACATTCCTGCAAGCAAGCATATTTCATTAGTTTTTGGGAATACCTTTAAGCAATTTTGAGCTAAAACAAAAGTAAAAGAGTGCAAATAAGTAGTCAAAATCCCTACTTATCAACTCCCCCAAACTTAAGCTTTTTCTTGTCCTCAAGCAAATAAGGTAATTCCCACCTCCACAAGACAAGAACTATTTCAGCTGTCCAAAGGTAAATCAATCACACATCAATTGGGACCAACAATTACCCACAACACGTATGAATTATCAATAATGCAATGATTTGACTTTTTGAGTACAATAGTTCTAATGTGACACTAGAGCATCAAGAGTTGACTTATTCATCAAGGAAGCTCGCTCTTTCACGTAGGTCATTGTGGATCCCAAACTCCTCTTCCTCTACTCTCCGTTAGCATAACTCACTATAGAATATAACTCTCAATTCAAGGATTGTGAAAAGTTTGCTCATCTCTCTCAAAAAAATTTACAAGTACGGCTTTAAGTACCATATGCTTGCCCCTCATATAAATCACCACTAATGTAACTCACTTAACTTGAAATCATGTAGGGCTTTTTCGGGATGTAATGAAGGCTTTCAGACTAAGGTATGATTTATTGACATAGAATGGGTTCATCTTTCCTTAAGCACTCCATTTTCTCTTTTTGACTCATAATTTGTCGACTCTTTGAGTCAATTTCTTTTTCCTCGGGGGAACTAGAGAGATGTAACGTCACTCTTTCTTGGTCATGACATTCATTTTTCTCCTTTTCTATTTTACTCCATGCCTTCCATCCTTGTTTTTCTTTGAGTCCCTTCAACTTTTTACTTTATTTACTTTCTTTTTGGCTTTTTTCTTTTTTTTCTTTCTTTTTTTTCTTTGCCTTCCCTTTTCTACATTTCTTTCTCTTCTTTGTACCTTTATATCACTTTCAAACTCCTCATCTCTCCCCCAAACCTATGTTTTTGAAAATTATTACTCAAGAATGCTAAGAAAAGATCAGGTGCCAAGAGAGGGTCATTACAAAACGGATAAAGGCTTGTAACATGGTTATTGAAAGAAAAAGGGCTTAGGATCAAATGGGTTGAGTAGGGATATCACATTGGTAGGATATGGAAGATTTTAAATTGGATCAATGAGATCCTACAATCATTTCTCAAGCCAAGCTACACTTAGAATTTCGCCTAGAAAAACATTCGGGGCAAGTTCTAGACTATTAGCACGGGTACTTGGACTTGCAATTCAATATCTCACCTCTCACTCTGTTGGATTGCTAAAGAGAACGGAGTCGAGGGCCCACAACAACCCTAGTTAAGATTGAGAATCACAAATGGCTCGACTGAACCACTCGATGACTATTTAAGTCAACACAAGAGTCAAAAGGTCACAGCTAGAGCTATTTTCTGCCAACATCTTGTTTTTAACCATAAGGCCGTAGGTAAATGTGTTGGTACCAAGTGAAGCATGCTTGAGACTCTTTTATTCATTACTACTATTTTTGCCTAAACATAAAATAAAACGGATTCAATCCCTTAAGAAGTTTGTCACGCCATCCATTGTTGGGAAGAGCCACCTGGTTCACACAAAACCCACTTTTGGAAAGAATCGTGACATTAAGAAAACCAAAGGCTTATTGTTCACTTAAACATAACAAGAAGCTACCAAATCAAAAAGGAGCTACTAAAGTAAATAAGAAGTTATACTACTAAGAAAAACAAACTAAAGAAGCTACGAAATAAACTACGGAAAGTAAGACAAATGAATATACAAACCGAAGGAAATGAATATATACATCAAATGAAAAGGCGGAATATATACATACCAAAGAGAAAATAAAGATAAAAGAAAAAAATTATAAGAGTTATTACAGGCCAATGTCAATGTCAAATCAATCAAAATAGACCACCCCCTGAATAAAAATAAGCATTGTCCCCAATGCTTAACAAAAATAAGAACAAGGACGGGTAGAGAGTTAAGAGAACTCCCTATGTGGTCTTAGTTTGCATGGAATCCTCAACACCCTCGGGCTCCTCTAACTGTATCTCATTTTTACCTGGCTGAGGGATAAGAGGGTTGTTGAGCATCCGGATCATCTCCTCAGTAGTTTGGGCAGCAAGGTCCTGCTCCTCAGACTGGCCGGCTGCTGCCTCTGATGCCTCAGGTACTGCTGGTGTTGCCTGTGCTACTGGGACTGCTGGTGTTGTCTCCATAAGAAGGTCATGAGGGATATCTCCAACTAATGCAAGCTTGGCTACCTGTTTGCTCAATTGTCCACTGACTTCTTTGATGCCTGAGATTTTCTCATCTTTTTAACTTGTTTGCCAAAATCCTCAATAGCGTTTCCTTGTGCCACCACTGAGCCATGATAGTCTTCTGGTTTTCCAGAATCTTCTTCAATGTTTCCTCCACTGACAGAGGTACCTGTGGTGCTGCTGGGGCAGAAGACTATGCTGCAACAGCACTGGATATGCCAGACAGCTTTGAAGTAGCTGCCTGCATCCATTTGTTGAGACTCGCCAATGTTTGGGAGACTCGCAGCAGTCTGTGGATAAGTGGATGAGGCTGGCACTGATAATAAAGCTGATGGTCTACGTTAAAGAGCGAGCTTCCTTGATGAATAAGTCAACTCTTGATGCTCTAGTGTCACATTAGAACAATTGTACTCGAAAAGTGAAATCATTGTATTGTTGATAATTCATACGTGTTGTGGGTAATCGTTGGTCCCAATTGATGTGTGATTGATTCACCTTAGGCCAGCTGAAATAGTTCTTGTCTTGTGGAGGTGGGAATTACCTTATTTGCTTAAGGACAAGCAAAAGCTTAAGTTTGTGGGAGTTGATAAGTAGGGATTTTGACTACTTATTTGCACTCTTTTACTTTCGTTTTAACTCAAAATTGCTTAAAGGTATGTCACGACCCAAACAGAAGGGTCGCGGCGGGCACCCGGTGCCTTACTCAAAGGAGTACCAACATAACATATCTTTCTTATCATACTATCATGGGTAAATGAGCTAGAAAACCCGTCATGAGATAACAAGAATAAAACATAAGGGGATACTCAACATATGATGACCCAACATGATATACAAACTTATACATATGACATACAGGCCTATAGGGTCGACAGGACCATTTGTAAACTCAAAACATAGGCCGACAAGGCCATACAAGTATCCATACACCTGACATCTGTCTACAAGCCTCTAAGAGTACATAAAATCATAAAGGTTGGGACAGGGCCCCGCCATACCAATCAATACCTATCCAAAGCATACTGACCAAATAGGCAACTCCGGAGCAAGTGGAGTGCACCAACACTTCCGCTGAGCTGATAGCCTACTTGGAGGACTGTCAACCTATCAATCGGGACCTGCAGGCATGAAACGCAGCGTCCCCAGGCAAAAGGGACGTCAGTAC